CTGGAGTCATGGAGCTATTCCAGCCATATACTGGGTATGTGTCATGTGTAATTCACATGAAATACAGCTTGTTTGTAATTTGACTCTTGTTTGGGATTAATTGTTGCCTCTCTCCATATAAAATACAGTAGCAACTCCCCAGCTTTGGCTCAGTGCTTCATGGAGTGTCGTTAGGAATGATAGCATCAGGATTGCAAGGCTGTATACGAAGCACTGCCTGGCTGTTTCTGTAGCTAAATAGCAGTGCACTAAATAGCAGTGCTCTAATGGAGAGTCTCATGCTGTAATTTAGCCTTAGCACTAATGCACTAATTCAGAGACAGTTACTGGAAAGAGGTTGATGGTAAACCACAAATTGAAGCCACCACATTGTGACTGGGAGCAATGCATTTGGTTCTGTGCATTCAGAGCAGCTCAGGGAGGGCACCCAGAACCAGAAATGGGCTGGGGGCTTCTGGTTCAGGTGCATGCAGAGGTGGGGGGTGTTGCCTGCTGTGGCCTCCAGGCTTTGGGGGTCAGTTCTTGGGGGGACATTTCCCATTTCAGTCCTTAGCTGTGCTTCGCTTTGAGTCTGACCCAAGCCAGCACGAACCCCAGGTTTGAACTTGGCCAGAACCAGCTCGCTGGGTTCTCAGCTGGGACAATAAATACAATAATCATACAATAAATGTCCTTTTCTTCTCTCGAGGTGTGAACTCCTTCCTGGTGTTTATGGCTTACAAAGACAAGCTTCAGTGCACCGATGCCCAGGTAACGCTGCCAGCGCCCAGTGCACGTCACCCCTCACACTCGGAGCACAAGCAGTGATGTATCTGACACAGGGCAACCCCCTGTCTCTTGCAGATGTATGAAATATTCTGCATTATCCGGGACCTGGGGGCCATTGCCCAAGTGCACGCTGAAAACGGAGACATCATCGACGAGGTACAGGCTTCAGATTGCTTTACATGAAAGGAGTGTTTGATCTAAGAGTATCTGATCTCGGGCAGTGTGCTGATGTGAGCAGACGGGCTGTGGTGCCTGGCGGAAGGTGGAGCAGTGCTGCCTCGATTTTAGCCTCAGTTGGTGCTGTAAATTCCATAGGGATCAGTCCAGGTGAGGGCAGCAGCAGCCTGCTGTGGCCCTGGGATGTCACCCGTGGTGGCATGATCAGGGCTCCTGCTAAAACCAGCAGCATCTTCCCCGTTCCTCACACCCAATTGGGTTTAATCACAGAAATCTCTACAAGGGCTGTTCAGTGGTTCCCAACAACTGGTCTGGGGCTTCTCGAAGGATGCCTGACTGCTTGAGTGATACTTAGCACAGCATCTGTCTTGGTTAGAAGAGCTGAGTACCTGAGAGAATAAGGAGGTTTGGATCTTTTGCAGTAGTGTGCATTGCACGTGGCAATTTTTATCTCCACAAATGGCACTCGGGAACTTCCGCGGTGTTGGGACTTTGCCCATGTTCATTCTTTTTCCTTTTCACCTTTAGAAAAAATAAAATCTTAGATACATCCTGCAATTGGGTGACACAAGGTAGAATTAGACCTTTTGGCTTATGGTCACACAAATGTTCAGTCTGGTGTGGGAGGAGAGTTCAAAATGGAAGCAGAATCCCAATCCTTCAAATGGGCTTATTTAAACAAACAGGATAGAGGCTAATTCCCACCTCCGCCTCCCTGGGATTTTATCTGAGAAACCCTCTCTTCAGCTGGCTCTGAAACATAATGTGATCCCAAACGGTTCAGTGTCTCCACAAGTATTTCTTCAAGCTGCCAGTGTGATAGTGCTTGAGCCCTGGGGACAAGCTCAGAGGGTGTTCCATGGTTCTGTGATGTGATATCTGCAACAGGAACACAGAGAACTAAACATCCTCTGAGAGCTGGATCCTTTAAAGCCTGTGAGATCTGGTCCATAGTGTTGAGTAACATCCTTACATCTAATGCCAGCTAAGTGGGAGCACTACATGACACACAACATGGCAGAAAGGAATCAGGATGAGGTGTGTGCTGGACATCTGCTTTCAAATACCATGTGGATGACCAGCGTCTGTCACTGGGTAGGGGAACGTGTGTGGCTGCGGCTGCGTGATGTACCAGTGAGGCTCCGGATGGGTGGCACTTGCTGTGTCCCACTGATCATCTCATTTACCTGGCACCCATCTCTGCTTCCTCCCTGTGCCCCTCTAAGCTGCCTCAGGCAGCCTCAGGTCCAAGGAAACTTGCAGCATCCCACCTAGCACAGCGTTGGAGTAAGCAGCAATGGGTTTACAGTCCTCATCCTCCACATCCGTAGCTGGCTTTGAGGAGTAGGGAAGGTCCAAAGGTGCTGTTGGGACGCAGCAGTTCCCAGCACAGAAATGCTCCCGCAGCACAGGATGGGTCCCGTAAGAAGTAGCTGCAGCGGTTTGTGGAGTGCCACAGGTACAAATGGTGCCCCCTCCTCTATTCATGATTCCCGTCACCCTTCAGGTGCCTCCGAACCAGGTGCTGCGTGTCCCGCACTGCTTCGGCCGGGCCGCTCATGTCACTGACTGCTCTCCCGTTCACCTTCCTCCACCAGGAGCAGAAGAGGCTGCTGGAACTCGGGATTACTGGGCCGGAAGGGCACGTCCTCAGCCGCCCCGAGGAGGTAACGTCCCGGCCCTGCAGCGGCGCTGCCCCGGGGTTTGGCTGGACCAGAGCCGCCCCGAGACCTGCCCTGGGCTGTGTCCCCGCAGGTGGAGGCGGAGGCAGTGTTCCGGGCCATTACCATCGCGAGACAGGCCAACTGCCCCTTGTACGTCACCAAAGTCATGAGCAAAGGGGCAGCGGATGTCTTGGCTCAAGCAAAGAGGAAAGGTAAAGCGCTAATTCTTACCGGGGGGCTGGAACTGGCTGATCTTTAAGGTGCCTTCCAACCCAAGCAGTCTGTGATTCTGTCTGCACGCAAATTGGGCCTCTTTAAGTACGTCCAGGAATATTGTTCTGGCTGCAAGGTTTGAGAACTCATTACCACCCAAGTTCTCTCGCATTTTAAGGGCGCTAAAACTTGGTGTTGGCTTTTCTTTAGCGTGTGCCAGAGCTAATTGCTCTGAACTGGAAAGATGTGAGGAGAGGTGCTGGAAGCTTTGGCACCTGAACCTCAGGAGATGCAGCTGAAAAAGGGAAATAATTCGCTTGCTGTCGTTTGTCATGAATTAAATGAAAAATGCATCTGGAGCAAGTTCCAAATTCAAGCTGGGGGTGGAGTGGGAAGA